CCGCCTCGGCTTGGGACACGCCAGATTGGATAAGCCGAATGGCCTCAGACATCCGGAATTCGTAATCGGAAGGCATAACGTAAAAAAAACGCGTTGAAATGCGCCTGTTTTTGTTCGAGTTGGGGTTATTTTGGTGAAGTAGTGCATTTGTTATGTCGGAAATAAAGTGCCCAAAGTCGGGGGGTGCCCAGGGTGGGGTCACGCACTCTAGGTGTTATCCTGTCTCGCCAGGCCCGGACCAGGGAATCCAGGATCAGGGAAATCCAGGAACTCAGACCACCGAATCCAGGAATCCAGAGAATCCAGGAACCCGCACCACCAACTCCAGGAAAGGAATCCAGGAGCCTGCAAATTTATGAACCAGAACCGTGACGACTGAAGGCCGCACCAAACTCCTGGCAATTTGCGCCAAAGGCCTGGCGTAGTGCACCAAAAACCCAGGCAGGGCACATCGGCAAGTTGGGCAGAGAACTTAAATTGAGACAGGGCACCCAAATCTCTGGCGAGTTGTACCCAAATCTCTGGCGAGTTGTACCCAAATCTCAGGCGGGGGGCACCCAAATCCCTGGCGGGGTTTACTCAAATCTCAGGCGGGGCACCCAAATCTTAGGCGGGGTGTACTCAAATCTCAGGCGTGGTACACCCAATTACTGGCAGTGCGTACTTGAATCTCTGGCGGGGGCACCCGAATCCAAGGTAAAATCCCTCAAGATCTAATTAACACTTACTTGGCGTGCCTAGTAAATCTTGTTTGATTTCCGCGACCATCCTCCGCTTATCGAATAATTGACCTGGTTTAATTGCCAATTCTGCCGCCTCTGCGAGATGTATACATGCCTTGATGAGCTTGTCGGGTGCATATTTTAAGACGGTAGAGGCTAGGAATTCTTGCGTTTGCTTGTTTGTTTTCGAGGAGTTTTTGCTTGGAGGAAATTAGCGCAAGACTGGATAAAAGACGAAATATGTACCCACACGACGCTCTCAGCTACTTCGGAGTAGATGATGAGGAAAAAGGGTGACGGTCCTGCAAGCGTCCTCCAACACCTTGCGGCTTGTTTGCGTCGTATTAAGTCGCGTCTCGAGACGGCTTGCGGCTGAGCGCTTTTGTACAGAGTGTGTGCGACGCACACGTTACGCTCACCCCGCTTTCCTTGATTTCCTCTTTCAGAGGCTGTCCGCTTTCCTCGGATCCTTCTTTCCGAGGCTATAATATCCTCCAGGGACTTGAAAACGCGTAGCAACTGTATATGAGCAAGCCTTGAGCGTATACGATCGCTCCCTTTTATGGCGCTATCCAGCACTTGAAAGGCGGTAATAACGTGGGGATCTGTGCTTGGCGTGCTGCTAGGTAACGACGTCTTCACGAGTATTAATATCCAGTCTTCTAAAATAGACTCAAAATTAGCCGCAAAGAATGTCATCGCTTCGGGCCTAACAAGCCGAAAAGGCTGAGTTAGCAGCCGTAACAGATTCTTGGTCCTTTTTTTCGTATAAGCTCGCTTCCTAGCATTTATTGGCTGTACGCTGCGTACGCTGCGGGCCGGTACAGCCTGTTGCTTGCGGCTCTGGAATTGCTGTGATCCTGTTGAGAAACTGACTTCGTCCAAATCGATGTTCATAGGATCACACATAGCGTCGAATGTACCGTCTGGAGCGATATGTGGCTGGCACACTTTTCGGAGGGTAGTGTTCGCCAGATTCAAAGGCGAGGAGACGGTAAGCTTTATCTAGCATGTAAGCTGATGCGCGCCCAGGTCCAGGGCCGGCGATTTATTGTGGAAATGGGCAAGTCGGTGTATGTTGAAGCCAGGCTCCTGGCTGTATCCAGTTCCTCGTATGTACACGCCACCTGGAGCCAGGATCACGGCTGCGGCTACGTCCAGCCAGCCAGACAGACAGGCGGACCCAAGACACCCACTATGATTGACCGAGGATGCATACTATCGCCGACTGAACTATCGCAGGTGGTTATTAATTAATGGCGGAGGTGCCTATCCACGCCAAGGAGGGCAAGGGTTTACTACGTATAAGCCTTACGATAGTGATTAAGATGACTCCTGCCACTGCTGTGTGACGATCAGGTGAATCCTTGGGTAAGGATTGTCAGAAGTATTCGACCCGATGGAGGATACAGCCACGTGATCGTTACGTGACGTGATCCGCGCCCCCTAGAAGTGCAGGGCGGGCCGGATGGCTCTAGTTCTGCTCTTCTACACAATCACTCAATCAAGTCTTTCCACTTTGCGAACTCAGGGTTTTTGAGCCTTTCCGCAACGTAGGAGCGTATGTCGGCGTTGACTGCGTCTTTGTCGGGGGCGATAGCGTAGTGGTTCACGCTAGGGCTGACTCATGCGCTCGAAAGCAATTGCTTTTTTGTGCAAGACGTCGTAGGTTCGATTCCTGCAACCCTCACCGGGATTTTAACGCTGCTTCCACGGCTTGGGACCCGGCTCGGGGCAATAGGAATAGGGGTAAAGAGATAGCCCAATGGGCTGACTCCTGCAATCTTTTTCTACTTACCCACCCGGGCAAGCCCACGTACGACCAAGGGGGTGTGCTGGACCTGACCTTCACCAACGCCTCGTTAGCAACAGCGGAAATCGACCCGAATCTAGCAACCAACTCGGACCACCGCACAATTCGGATCGAAATCCCCTACCCGAACCACGCTTCACTGGACTGCCGGCGTATCACGCTTCCCGAGGAAAAGCTACCAATGTTTGCAAACCTGGTAGCAGCTGTGGTCGGTAGCCTGCCACCGCTCGCGGGCCTGCATGCCACAAACCACCTGGACCGAGCAGCTGAAGCACTAGTAAACCTGCTAAAGAGTGCGCTGGCTACTTTCGGCAAAGGGCCTAAAGCCAAGGGAAAAGGCCAACCGTGGTGGGACGAAAAGTGCGCCGCCGCACAAAGGGACTTGGCAAAGGCCAAGGCAAGGGGCGGGTCGGCTACGGCCGAAGCTCACGCCTTAGAAGCAACGGTTCGGGCAGCCAAAAGGCAACACTGGGCGAAGGTGTTAGAGGAGATTGACTCCCCGGCAGCGCTATACCGTGCAGTGAAATGGCACAATCTTATGCCCGCCATCCGGCTCCCTCCGCTGAACATCGACGGGGAAGCGATAGTGGCCCCAAAGGAGAAAGCAGAGGCACTGGGCCGCAAGATCCTCCGCAGGTTCACGGCCGAGGACGACCTGCAGGAAGACCCGTTGCAGCAGGGGCCCACCCATAGGACCGCACAACTCCCGTGGGACCCCCACGTCCCCATGGAAGAATGCCGGAAGTGCACCATAGGCACGGCAAACACCGCCCCTGGCGTCGACTCTTTATCAGTCAGGCTGCTCACAGCGTGGACGGCAATAGGGGAGTACGTTAGGGCTTTGTTCGAAGCATGCTTAAGGGCCGGGCACCACCCAGCTCCTTTTCGCACGGCGGAAGTGGTCATGATGCGAAAGCCGAACAAGTCGGACATGTTGAGCGGGATAGCAACATTATGGGCAGATTCGAATGCCACAACGCCGAGTGCAGCTCATCGGGATGGGCGAGCAAGATGATTCCCATCACTATTCAGATGTATCCGTCGCGACGATACAACGCCATAGTCTATCACCAACGGTGTCAAAAGTGCGAATCCCTCAGCCGGCCGATCCTGGACGACTCCTACGGCGAGAGGGTCGCCTACTGGCTCAAGAAGTGGTCTGGCGTCCGGGTGCAGGCCCCTCAACACTCTCAGAGGAAAAACGACAAGCCTCATCGGAGCAACCTGTGTGAGGGCTGTAAGGCAGGGCACTGTAAAAATGGCGATTGGGACGACTAGGATCTCTAGAGTTGTAACAAGGGCTCGTTCACAGGGCTTGAAAATTGGGGAATAGCTTCAATTTGCAGATATCTTTCAAGGCCCTCAGTGGTGCCATGATCCCTAGGGAGAGCGGGAGGGGTATGAATAGGCCGTCAGTGTGGCCCGTGCCCTTTTTTGTGCGAGGGGGCCGTTAGGCACATATGGGTCACGTGCTCCCCATTGGGCGCTTCCGTGTGGCAAGGGTATTTTTGCTTGGGACGACAAAACGGTCAATACAACCATTGTTGCTCCTGCTCCAAGGATGGCTTAATAGCCATTACACTGTTTCTCAAGCCAGACTGCCCTTAACTCGAGGCGCTTGCCGATGGGTATTTGGGTACGCAACTCGGCCGACTAAATAAATTTTTACCTCTGCCCCTTGAGTATTTCCCATCGAGTGCATGCTTTTCCAAAAAAAAGGTGCTGGGGGAGGGGCTGGCTATTTTGTCGCAGATTGACGTGCCTAGAGCCTTACGATCGCTGCCGCCTCACGCTGGCGAAAATCGACAGTCCAACCACGCTTGCAGCACCAACCTTATCCTGACATGGATAGCAACCCTGCAGCCAAAAGAGGTTGCCATGTGGGTGTCAGTTTTGTTGGTTGCGACGGCCGCGCTGGGGTTTCTATGGCAGTATGCTATGCGAAGGGTGCGGCTTTCGAGCGGGTGTGAGAGTCGCATCGATCGAGGGCGTGAGGCAGCCGATTGGTCGTCTGGCGATGGCTTCGACGAGCCGGGATATGCGGGATTTGCCATTGGTAGAGACGGGTGCGTACAGCTGGATGGCGGGCGACGAGCGCGAATGGCGTGGGCCTGCCTTTGACGGCGTTGCATGCCGCCTATGCTGTGCTACTGTTTCGTAGCTGCGCGTCGACAAACGGCAGGGAAAGCGTGGTCGACTTGAGAACACGGGAAGCGTGAAGAGCAGAACAATTTTGCTCGCAATCAGCGAGACGTCGGAGCCGCTAGCCGTCCGACAACAAGCCGCCCCGGTTATTGATCGTCACCGATAATATGTGGAGGAGGAGGAGGAGGAGGAGGAGTATATTTAACGTCAGCAAGTCGGGATCTACCAGTCCCTGCCTCCCAAGGGGCATATGACGTGCTAGCGCTACCTAAGCTTGACACTAGGCTACGTGTTGCTATCGAGGCGGCTAACAAATTAAACCATAGGGCGAGCCAGCAAAAAAAAAAAAAAAGGAAGGCCTGCCCAAGGCACACGGAGTTCGGGCCGCATTCCGGCGCTCCTTGATGGTGAGCGGGCAATCGGCAAAGGGGCGAGTAAACGCCAGGGCGCTGCAAGCGCTGCTGTTGGTGGTAGTGAAAGCAGTCGGCCGGCAAAGTGCCGGGAAGAGAGTAGGGCCGGGTGAAAGCGGAGGGGTCTTCGGGACCCCCCCTAAGCCCGGCCAAAGAAAGAAAGTTCGGGGGCTGGAGGGCCTAGTTCCAACCTTATGTGCTCCTTGTGTGTTTATCGCGTATCGAAGCGATAGGCTGCGCGGTTTGCCAGTTCGTAGGACGTCAAGCGTGCACGATACGGCTGGCAAACAGAACCGCGTCATGATCTTAAAAATCTTGCGCGTGCGTGCTTATGCAGCAGGCCAAACTTGCGCCGTGCGTATCGTTGGGATGCGGTCGACCGAGGAGGAGTCGCGTGGATGGAAGGGACGAAGAGTCCCAAAGATGGCGGGGGACGGCGGCGGCCGGGCCGGCTATTCGTCCAATGTGTTCTAACTGCTTGCCGGCCTGCAGTCTTCTTGTGCGTTCGAGTCGTTCGGCTCGCAAGTTCGCGAGGCGAGGGCGACAGAAGTCAAAGGGCGGTCTGATGATGCGCGGATGTTGGAGCATCTGATTGTCGAGATTTTGGCGCGCGCGAGGCGCGCGCCCTGGGCGATAGGGTGCAGGCCTTCCCCTCGACTGGCAATAGGCACCGCCATACCTCTGCCAGCCATTCTCTGCTCTTTTGGCCCAGTTGCGTTGCCGACGTCGTTGTTGAAAGGAGTCGGAGAACGCGGGTCGAACAGAGCCAGATGGCCTGTTAGACCCTGTTGTGCAGCCGGCTCATTTTTGGTGGCCCCAACACCAAAATGGCCGGGATTCCTTAGCGGCCACTAACAGCGGGTCCGACAGGAAAATTTTTCGGGGGAAGGTGCTTGGGGTGCACTGACTTAACGCAAGGCAGCCATTTGCATGAAAATGCCAAACGCACTGACCACCGTAGTACCGCCCGCAGCCCGGTTGCATCCGCAGCAGCTCGGGCTGGCACTCAAGCCAGATCTGGGGGCAAAAGGTTTTCGGGGCAGAATATTAAGGTATGCGCAGAGATGCATACATGGAGGAGGCCAAGCAACTGATTTGATCGCCACGCGCACATGTGAGGCCCGACGGCCCCCTCGGGAGGCCAATGGGCCCGGTCCCAAAAGGGGCGATATAAGCCATGTTTATCATAACCGAGCCCGTGTCTATCACAAACTCGAGCTGAAAGGTGCTACCTTCCTCCATTCCTCGGTGGTATTTTAATTTGGGTTTATGCAACTGATCGGGTTTCGGATGTGGCGCGAGCAGCTCAGGCCGAGAGGCCCGGCTGGGGGGCGCCTTGCATGGTGGCCTCCGACCGGGCCTCAATCAGGGACTTTCCGGCGTCTGCCCCAGCAGGGCCTCATTCCTGTTGCGTGTGCAGAAGACGGACGTAAATTGTTCCGCACAGGCGATCGCCGGCCATCCGCACCAGCAGGACCTCATTCCCGTCGCGTGTGCAGAAAAGGGCACCATTCCTGTTGCTTGTGCAGAAGACGGATGCAAATTGCTCCGCACAAGCGATCGCCGACCGTCCGCATTTCCCGCCCGAGGAGGCTCGTCCAAGATGTAGCACGAGCCCCACCCACCTAGCCTCCGACCACAGGCTAGAAACGCCCGCGAGCTGCACATTGGCAGGCAATTGTCGGAAAACACTATCTAGTCCTTCTCTCATTCCATCTCATCTCTTTTTCTGTCTTCTCTCTGAAAAAAACTGTGATCCTCGTGGTGATATATACACGGTAGGTGATATGTGCACCCATGCACGGACCATATCCGGTTGCCTTTGGAACC